TAATTTATACATAAATATGTATATGGTGTTGCGCATTTTCTTCCATTTAAGAGTCAGTTTTCTTCATGCATTATAGGGAAGAAAATTCGCAATAACCTCCACAAAAAAAAAAAAAACAAAATTATAAACAAGTATAAGTTCGGGCCCAGCCGAACATTAGATACCCGACGCAAGTATTAAATATAGTTTTTTCACCTTTCCGAAAACTACCGCTACGTGATAGGCAGGAGGGTCTATCCCTATTTCAAACATCTTCGATAAACTTATACAGTTATATGTGGGCGGTATCACGCCCATCTTCCAAAATTCAATAATAATGTCACTTATCTTCAAGGCATTGTTGTTATTATAAATTTAGCGTAAATTAGCGTCCTTAAATTTCGAAATATCGAAGTCTCAAGCATTTCTGAAATTTACCGTTATATAAAAACTGGGCGTAATTTTAGTCCGATTTCAATAATTGTCAGCGTTTTGCTTTTCTGTGGAAAGCACAATAATCATTCCGAGTTTGGTACATATTGCTCAAACGGTTACCGAGATACACATGCGTGGTCATAAGTGGGACGTGTCACGCCCATTTTCCAAAATTTTATCATAAACATATATCTTGGTGAAGAATTATTGCAAGCAAAAATTTTGAATAAATTAGCTTCGGTATTTACTGACTTATCGAAGATTTCGCATTTCTCTAAATTACCGTTATATGGGATGTAGGAGTGGTTATTGTCCAATTTTTAAAATTTTCACTCATTTGGTATGTTATACCAAGGCCAACAAGCGTGCCAAGTTTGTGGGAAATTGGTGTAACGGTTACCGAGATATACACCCATAATGAATGATACGTGATTTTCCAAAAATTTATACTATTCTTATTTTCCGTCTAAAAATCATTGTAAATATCAATTTTGAGTGAATAGGCTTAAGAAGTTATTAAAATATCGCAGTTTTCGTATTTCTGAAAACTACCGTCATATGGGAGGTAGGCGTGGTTATTGTCCGATTTTGCCCATTTTCTATACCACCCGTCCTACGCTGAAAAGAAGTACACATACCAAATTTCGTTAAGAAATTTTTTACTCGAGTTATCGTGTGCACAAACGCACAGACGGACACATGGACCGACAGACAGTCACCGCTCAATCTATTTCTTTTTTCATTCTGATCATTTATGTATACATTTGTCTATATCAATCTTGATTGGTTTTGCCTGTTACAAACAACCGCTATGTGAACAAAGTTATAAAAGCCTTGCGCATAAGTGCGCTCGGGTATAAAAATCAACTGTAATTTTTAGCTACTGCTGAACCCGCATGGCGTTAAGACGCCAAAATCCAGTTTAATATTTTAAACAGATGGCAACACTATTCACAAACCTTAATAAATATTGCAAATGTTTCAGGTAAATGCGTCCATCCCTTTTTTCATTTCCTCAAAATTCAAACCACCGTGCACCGCTAAAAAAGGTCCTAACTTCAAAAAATAAAACCATAATGCCCATTTAGAATGACGGCGCTGATTTGATGACCTTCAAATTAAAGATTATTTATTTATAAAAATTAACTCAAACTAATTTTTTCGGTATATTATGGGTTTATTCGAAAGAACATATATTCCCATTAGTTATGGAACCCGATTTCATCATGTGACTGTCTTCGCTGTAGCGCATCCTGTTAATCGAGTTCTCCAAGACCTTGTTGATGGTTTCTGGCTCTATCGTAAGAAATGCCGGACATACGCCTTAAAGGCCTGAATCGTTAATAGATTGTTCGCATTACATCGGTCCTTCACGGCATGGCACAAAAAAGTCTAAGGGCGTAAAATCGTGGCTCCGTGGGGGCCAATTGACTTCATCGAGACAGCTGATCACTCAAAATAAAAATCGAAAAGATGGCAACCCTAAAAAAATATTTTCAAACTAAAGTTTTATTAAAACTTTCTTTTGCCACTCATATTTTAATATTTGATTAAAATTGTGTAAAAGCTAAATAAATTAGGCTTTTCAAACAGGTGGCAACCTTCTGCGAAACATTTTCAAACTGAAATCTTTTAAAGCTCTTTCGTCTGATACTTTGATACATAATTCAATTGCCTGAAGAATTAAATTGAATTTAATTTTTTTATCACCTGGCAAGTCTCCTAAACAGTTCAGATATAAATCCTCAAACCCATGAACGATTAAATCCCCTCTTTTAGTAATTTATTTAACTTTACCTATTTATTAACTTAATTTATTAAACTTAATTCATTTAAATTTAAAATTTTCAACAGCTGGCAACTCTTCAAACCATCAAACAAAATTTTGATGTTTAAACTGAAGATTTCTTAGCACTTTTTCGTTTAACACCCATACTTTAATACTGCATATAACTAAATTCGGCTTTTAAAGCAGGTGGCAACCCTTTTCAAAACATTTTCAAATTACTACCTTTTTAAACTCCTTTAGTCTGGACTCCTGTGGGGGGGAACATTTTGTAAATTACCTATGTAATTTCCCTGTTTAAAATTAAATTAAATTTTTTAAACAGAAGCAAAGCTTTTAATAACCATTTCGACTGACACCTATGGCAACTCTTTTCAAAAGGTAAAACCTCATTGCACATCTGCAACCAAGCATTTTAATTTTACACCTCATTTTTGAAAATCGAGCGAAGGTTGGGGATATGATGGTATTGATTTATAAATAATCTCAACTTGATTTTTTAAAATGTGGCCATTCTTTCCGGAAAATTAAAAGCCTACTGCACATCTACATATCAAGCCCTTTAATTTGATACCTAATTTTTGAAAATCAAACGAATGGTTCAGATCTGATGACCTGGACAAAAAGTCCTTTCGCGTATTATATATATAGATATAGTAAAATTCGACTTTTTGAACAGGTGGCAACTTTTTTAAAAAGTAGTTTCGCGCTAAGATATTCGTAAATATTCTTCGTCTAACATTGCGATAAATATTTTAATCAACTGATGAATTCAGTTGAATTATATTAATTAAACATGTGGCAACTCCGCTAAATATAGTTCATATTTTAATAATTCATTTAACTTATTTAATAATTTGAATTTAATTTTTAAACAGGTGGCAACCCCCTTAACACGTACCTTCAAAAATATTTTGTGTGTTCAAACTAAAGTGTTCTTAATATTCTTTCGTTTCACATCATTATTTTGCCATTTCATATAACTTCTGGATAAGTTAAATACATTCGACATTGCAAGAAGGTGGCAACCCTCTTCAAAATATTTTCAAACGGCCACCTTCTGAAGCCCCTTTCGTTATGCGCCCATATGTTGAAACATATTTCTCCTAATTAATTTTCTCATTTCAAATTGAATTTAATTTTTTAAACCTCCTAAAGTTAAGTTAAGAAACAAATATTTTCAAAACCCTTTCCACTGATACCCATTATGTAATAATTGATTTTTTTAGATAATTTGAATGAAATTTTTTAGAAGGTGGAAACTCTTAAAAAAAGTGAAACCTTATTGCATACCTGCAGTCCAATAGTTTTAATTTGACACCTTATTTTGGAAAATGAAACGAACGGTGATGTTATGACGGCATTGCTTATTATAGAGTTCATATTCAATTGTTCTATTCTTTTGAACTTAATTTTTTAAAAGGTGGCAACTCTTTTCGAAAAAGTTAAGCCTTATTGCACACCTAAAGTTAGAGCTCTTTGATTTGACACCTCACTTTTGAAAATCGAACGAACGCAATATTTTATCAGGTGGCAACTCTTTTCGAAAAAGTAAAACCTTATTGCACATCTACAGACAAAGCGCTTTAATTTGAGATCTCATTTTTGAAAATCGGGCGAACGGTACAGATCTTTTATGCTGCACAAAAAATCCCTTCGCGTACTATATATATACAGTTGTCCACAAAATAATAGGAGTGCGATATTTTGACCAGTTTTGGCTATTTGTCTTTTGTTTATTTAATGTTTATTATTTTTTTATAAAAGC